CCCCCCCCCCCCCCCCCAATTTCTTTTTGTGGGTAAACAACCATCAATTTTTAGTGCAACAAGAGCAAGAAAACATCTATGTAATTCTGCCCTCTTTTTTTTTCTTTGTTTTCTTTGGCTTTATTCAAGAACTTGTTTGAATAGTAATCTTTAACTGTCAAAAGTCTACAAACGTTCACACCATAACTTGAGAATAGTTATAAATATTCCTGATATTTTTTAATACAGGTTCAACAGGATTTGCTAAGTGGTTTAGAGGGAGTTTGGATGACAGACATCTTCTCTTTGGTTCTCTGAATACCTTTGGAAACCTGCAAAGCTCTCCTTCAGCATCATTGGAGCGGTTTTACAGAGAGTCTAACCACACTTCACTTACATTGATCATTCAAGAGGTTTGTCAACACTCCTCAAAGGTTAACAAACCTGCAATCTAAAAATAGTTTCCCATCACGAACATTAAAGACTATAAAACTTCGGAATGGAAAAGGACTACCTACCACTGCCAATTTTTTTCAAAATGACGAGAAAGATCCGAAAACAAAAGTAGAAGTTATACACAAATTTAACAGCATTTCTATCTTTTGAATGGGCCTAACAAATTCTAATCTATATTACATGTTTCAGCAGCCAGGGAAGAACCCTTTTTTTCCACCCCATCGGGATATAATGAACCCCAAACAAAAACCTTATTCAGGTTGTTAATATAATCCTAAGAGAACTTCCCTCACCAAATTCAATGATACTGCAGCCAAAACCTTTGCAATGTAAATAACTGTTATCAATAGGGAAAGGGTTGGTGAGTTTTAACCTCATGTAACAATGTGGCTGGTGCTTGCATCTCCAAATGAAACTGAAGCTAAAGACTTGGAAGCCCATGCCTTTGCATTCATGGCTCCTCCCTGCAAATTGCTTCTCTTGCAAGGCTCCTTTAGGGAATCAAATAACTGTATTGCTCGATCCAGGTAGGCCAGAGGATGCTCCCACAAGCTCCTCAACCTCACGCATACAATATACCTTCTCCAAGCAAATTGAGCACATATACGAAGAAATGGGGAAATGAAATAGAGCAGCCTTAACAACACAAAAATGGTGGCCAAGGTCAAATATGTCTCATGCTGAAGTAAATTCCAGGGAGATCTAGCCCATGAGAATGGACAGCTTTCCTGCTCACTGTTATCATGTTTCTCCTGTTCTGATGAGTGACCAATTCTGTTCAGGGATGCTCCATCCACTGATGCAGTGTAGAGACCTATATATACCCCATCGAAATCCTTTGATAAGTAGTTTCTTTAAACTCATTGCAAGTAAATACATGGAACCATGATTACAAAGAATGAAGGTTTGATGCAGCCCCTCTGTGTATGTCTTTTATAATGAGACAACCAAAACATGTTTACAAATGCATCAAATGTTGATATTCTGATTGAGTTGGAGGCCATGTGCTAAAAACCATTTCCTACTCAAATAATAAAACAATTATCTTCAGTAATATACCTTTTAGAAGAAAACATCGAATTATACCATTCGTCAGATATTTGCGTTTAGAATTAAGAGGAAAATTTTTTTTTACAAAAGGACAAGTAATACAAGAAACGAAGGGAAATCAAAAAGATATAAAAATCAAACCAAGATTTATATGATTTGAAACAAAGAGAAGTTCCTAGCAGAGCAGTTCCAGGAAAGGGGCCTTACCAGTAACATCACCATAGAAAGAGACAAGAGAACCAAGGGATCGGGAGCCATGATAGCGCACGCGCATGGTGGAATTTAAAAGGAAAAGCGTAGGAAACCCATGGACTCCATATTTTGAAAATATGCTGAAAATATGTCATCAATGTTATATTCAATTGACAACACGTTATTGGTGAAAGATAAATCCACAGAAGATATTGGCGACCAAACCTTGGCCTTATGGCTGATTCTTCAATTGCGAAATGAGGAATGGAAGGATACAAGGAAGAGATGATGGAAAAGCTTGGTTTAAAAGATCTAGAGAATGGGCACCAAGACGCATAGAAAAGCACTGCAACGTAATCATGAGTATTCTTGTGAACCATATTCAGTGCCCTCTGCAGTGAGACTTCATCTCCCTTCATAACAACAATGTTTAAACACCATTATTACTTTAACAGAGCATATAAAATGAGGAAATTCATCTTTCCAATGTAATAGTTTTGCCTCTAAATTTTATGGTATGCAGGTTAACCCCGTGAACCCCAATCACTTTAAAGGGGGAAATACAGGGGCATAGTGACAAATGGTATAACGTGCATTATGTGGCCATCATGCAGCCCATTGGTCTCATATTCATATATATCGTCCTCAAAAGTGATTTCCCAAAACACAAATCCAACTCTACTCCCCTTTGTCAGCCAACAAGGATGCTTCAAAAGAATATGAAACAACACACAACTTAGAATACATCCTATAGAATTTCTGACAGCAACATTATCGCAAACTAAACCACGATCATCAGATGTCATACACGTTCTTGGCATTCTAGACAAAGCTTTCAACTCAATAACTATGAACACTAGTGCAGCTTCAAACAGGCAAATGAACTGAAGAATACTTCCTATATTAAAAGTTGACTTAATATTCTATGCAAATCACTTTTAAGGTAGTTCATTTGTCCATTAAATTGAAACAATTCAAAATTTTCAGTGGTAGCAAGCATATTTTTCCTATGATAACTGGAAAAAAAAAAAAAAAGGACAGTACCAGCAGGCCAACCGTAGGGTTTAACGATAGCATTTGCCAAACCTGACAGTTATTGGCACCAGCAGAATGGATAGCAACCTAACCAGCTCATCCTCCATAGAGTACACATTACCATTTCTGGCCACACATTTCTTATCAAAACTGCTTAACCTTGCAAGTGTTAACATCAATTGTATTAACCCGCAAGGGTAGCCCAGTAGTGTCGGGTTAGACCTACACGAACTGTAGACCCGAACGTCAAGAGTTCAACTCTCACTGCTTAGACTTAACTAATCACCATACTTTGCGGGTGATTATAGGTATCTAGGCCGGTTTACTTGCACAAAAATGGGTCCAAAACAACCCTACTTGGAGGGGTTCCTCGTTACAAAAAAAAAAATCAATTGTCTTATTCACAATCTCATAATACTAATTGCCAAATCTCCAGGTCACATTGTTCTCTGACAGATTCTCGCCAAACAATAAACATGAAAAACAACTCATACACCCAATCCAAAATCATATTAAAAATAAATTAAAATAAAAATGAACCCATTTCCTCAATTCCTGACATTATTAACCAAATTTAACAAAATAAAAGCAATTATTAACATAAAAATTGAAAAACAGAGAGAAAAATAAACCATAACAAGCAACGTTTGTACGGATATGTTCGGAAGTAATCACACGTAAAACAACCACAGAGAACATTTTATAAGCGGGGGAAGCTTTGCATACCTCAATAACACCGACATCAAAAGATTCGACCACATTCAAGTGACATATTGAATCTGAAAACCCAAAGATCGAGTGTTTAACTGAATTTAAAGGGCAAACGGAAGGTAACGGAACCCTAACGGGTTCTGCACACGTTAATCTCCCGAAAACCACCAACAGCACCAATCCTGTTCCCCATACCCTCCTCCTCCTCTCCATATGTGACGATGATGATGATATGATGATAGATACAATCTGATATGTATAGATACTATTGGGACCCACTGAAGAAACCCCAAAAGAGGAAGAGAGGAGGTGCGGAGGAAGGTGGGGGCCTAGAGAGAGCCAACCGCATAATAGCGTCCAGGATGTTTCAAGGGGTAGGTGTGTGTGTGCGAGTGAGAGAGAGAGACCGCTAGCAAACTGTTAAATAGATTTCGATAAGAGCATTTTTATCAACGAGTTGTATTTTAGCTAATTAAAAAATAATTTTTTTTATTTTAACTACTCACTTTTTTAATAGATATTCTAAGAGTTTTTCTATATTTTTAACTACTCATTTTAAATATTATTTTTTATTTCTTTTATATTATTTTTTTTGAAAATAATGAAAGAGAGAAAGAGAGAGAATGGAAGAAAAGAGAGAAAATAAAATAAAATATGTTTACAAGTTGTTAGAGTGATACTCTACATTTAGAATATCATTATAACAAAAATCTATTTTAGAATATCTGAAGAGCATCTATTGAAGTATGATTTTTTGTTTTGGTTAACTAAATTTTAGTTATTTTTGTGCTTTACAGCATCTCTTGCAGATGCACTAATATGGTGGACCTAATCCCACATCGATTTGCATTAACTATGAATTACTGTTTATTTTAGGGTTTTTTGAGTGTGTGTATAATTTTTTAAACTTATTTGATCAAAAATATATGGATAAGTTGTTTATTCTATTAAGTACAATTTTTATAAAAAAATTTATGTTTAGGTACAACATTCAAATGAATTAAAATTTTTTTTACCAAAACACTCTCCCTTAAATTATGCAGTTGTCACACCCTATTCCAAGAGACCTTTTTTGGTTTTCCAGAGATATAAGTGTAACTCAACACGTGACAATACATGCATCTGTAATGTAGTAATGCATTTTAAATATCAATAATGCCACCTAATGCTACAATCAAATAGAAAACTCTATAACAAGATACATAACGATGTCGTTTATACCAAAAACAAAATATTAGGGATTCCATTCCATTACAACAACCAATAGGAAACAAAAAAAACAACACTCTTGTTCAATATGTACATAAACTAGTTTTCTTAACCTCTCATCACGACTTTGCTAGTGCTATAGTGGACTCACTTTAAGCTTCAGATTCCTGAAATCAAATATTTTTTTGAGTGTACTGCCTATCATAATAAATTAAAATATTAAAAATATGGATCAAATATCATTTCACCAAAATATGTTCACAATCTAAGGAGAATGTCAAAATCAAAGTGTTTTCTACTCATTTTGAAATATCATAATCTCTGTCAATATAACAACATAATAAATAGTGCACATGTGCTATGAGTCAACAACAACATTTAAGCAATGTCGGGCTATCAACAACATTTAAGCAATATCAAGCTATCTACAAACATTTAAGTAATGTCAAGCTATGTCATGAAAACTGCGCAGTGTCCAAATCAACAACATATAAGCCATGTCAAACTATCAACAACTCTAACACAGTGGATACTACTCTTACAGTCAATCCTTATGCATAACCGATGTAGTAGCCTCTGACCCTAACAGTTAACACATGAATTAATGAAAATAAGTATCGAATAAAAAATAGTTTAACTAATGAAAATCAATGCACAGAAATGTATTTCTTAACGTTTCGTATTCACCACAATTGTATCGTTTCAGACCACGGTACGTTACCGCACTCAAAACCTTAATTCGGATCTATGATTTTCAGTCCAAATTCAAAATCATCAATCATAAGTTTTAAAATATATTAATGACTCATAAGTAATGTAATACATGATTTCAAAATGAATTTGAAAATTTTTGACAGATTCAGAATTGAGAAATTCTATCATGCACTACTTTTCGATCTGAAATAACTAAAAATAAAAAGATGTTATTTTTCAATGAAATTTCATACACATACTCAATTAACATATCTAAGAATGAATATAAAATTTATTTTTTCAAAATCATCCAAAAACTGGATCAAATTAGTCCCTGAGGTCAAAACAGTCATTTTAATCCTCATTTTGGTCCGGCCGTCGGATTGACTTGAAATTTTACTGGGACCTCCGCATGGATGTTACAAAACTTTTGGCACCAACTAGAGGTCAATTGGAGCTCAGAAGCTCTCTCATGTTCCGTTGGGGTGCACTGGTGTATTTCCTTCTTCTTCATCTTCTTCCTTGGTCACTTTGACTAAAACCCTAGGCTCCTTCCACCAGCTCTAACCCCATACTTCTCACCCTTATTTCTCCTTGCTCAGAACACATTTTCACCTAATTTTTGAATCTAAGAACTCATCACACATCACTCTAACAAATCACATAATTCTCAAGCTTCGAATTAAGCTTAAACCCAAAAAAAAAAAAAATCAGTCAAAGTAAACCAAAAATAGGGTTTCTAATTTATGGCCAGACTTACAACTTGCATTTTAACCATCTTAAAAACTTCTGAATCCAACTCTAAGGTCACCAATGGATTCCTAAGGTCCATTTTAGCTAGGAACAACCTTCCCTCCAAAGCTTAACCCCCAAACCCAAGAGATCAAAAATCCACCATGGCCGAAACTTCATCACCAACACCCCATCACCTCCGACCATGGAAAAACTTGAAATAACCACCAAAATACTCCTCTACCTCCCACAACACAGCCATACCAACCAAATTAACCAAAATGACCTCAAACTCAAAACCTATTTCATAAAAACCTAGAACCCAAAAATTTAAAACATAAATTTGAGCAATTGTAGTACATCATATGAAATTCTAATGATACCAAGAGATTCCTAGCCCTCAAATTATCCTAGTAGCATACCTTTAATCATTTGAAGTAGCTTCTTCCACAAATTTGAAATTCAAAATTTTATTCTCTCTCTTACTTCTCTCTTCTCCCTCTCTCCTCTCTTGGTGGTTCTACCTTATCCAGAGACTTGCTGAACTTTTAAGCAACTCCTCAATCACTTTGGAAGCTTGGAGAAGGCTGAGGAGAACTCCTTTGCTGCCAGGCAACAGCATGGAAACAAATGCCATGCAATGACATTTTCGTAAATAACTCAATTTCATTTTTTTTTTCAATTGTTTTTATATATAATTATAAACATATTAGAACATGCACTATAATAATATTTTCTATTATTATTATTTTTTTCATACACATGCATGCTCAGGTTTTACAATTCTCCCCCTCAATAAAATTTCGTCCCCGAAATTCACTTACTTGATGAAAATAGATGAGGATATTGAGTTTTGATATTCTCCTCAGTTTCCCAGGTAGCCTCCTCAACTGAATGACTTCACCACAATACTTTTACTAACGAAATGACCTTATTACGTAATATCTTCTCTTGACGAGCCAAAATTTGTACTGGTTCCTCAATGTAAGTTAAATCTTCTTTTAACTCTAAAGGCTACTCAACCAATACATGAGACGGGTCTAGTATGTACTTATGGGAGCATAGAAACATGAAATACTTTATGCAAATGAGACAACTCTAAAGGTAAATCTAATCGATAAGTTGTCGCCCCAACCCTTCTTGAAATCTCATAAGGCCTAATATATCTTAGACTAAGTTTTCCCTTCTTTCCAAACCTCAATACACCTTTCCAAGGTGACATCCTAAAAAATACTCGATCAACCACTTCAAACTCTAAATATTTTTTGCGTTTATCAGCATAACTCTTTTGACTGCTTTGAGCAGCTTTCAATCGATCTTGAATTACTTTGAATTTATCTGTAGTTACTTGCACTAGCTCTGGACCCAATATTTTTCTTTCCCCCACTTCACTTCAACAAACTGGAGTCCTACACTTTCTGTCATAGAGTACTTCATATGGTGTCATATCAATGCTACTGTGATAACTGTTGTTATAAGCAAATTCTATTAAAGGCAAATTAGTATCCAAACTACCTTTTAATTCCAACACACACGCACACAACATATCCTCAAGGGTTTGGATTATACATTTAGATTGCCCGTCCGTCTAAGGATGATAGGTTGTGCTGAACTTCAAGGTAGTACTCATGACATGTTGTAGCTAAACCAAAACATGGATGTAAATCGTGGATCTCTATCTGCCACAATGGATACCGGAGCACCATGTAAACGCAAAATTTCATCCACATAAATTTGAGCATATTTTTCAAACAAATAAGTAGATTTGACGGCTAAAAAATGAGCTGACTTCGTCAATCTATCCACAATAACCCAAATGGAATCATGCCCGCTTTGAGTTCGTGGAAGTCCTAATACAAAATCCATGGTAATATGTTCCTATTTCCATTTTGGAATAGGTAGAGGCTACAAAAAATCTGCAGGATGTTGATGCTCAGTCTTTACTTGCTGACAGACTAAACATCTTGAAACAAATTCCGCAATTTCTCTCTTCATTCCACTCCACCAATAATACTCTCTCAAATCTTGATATAATTTTGTACCCCCAGAGTGCATAGCATATAAAGAATTATGAGATTCATCTAGAATGTCCTTCTTCAAGGTAGTATCATTTGGCACACAAAGTCGAGTATCAAAGCATAACATATCGTCACCACGAATTACAAAATCTGTCTTACTTCCATTCTGTACTTCTTTTCTAATCTTTTCCAATTTTGGATCTTGATGTTGTAATTCTTTGATACGATCCATAACACAGGTCTTACTTTAAATTGTGCTAGTAGAACGTATGTATCAATTAATACCATATCCACTCCCATCCTTCTCAATTCAGTAATATTAGTCATACGGTTACACTGAATGCACGATAATCTCCCCAATGATTTCCTACTTAGTGCATTAGCCACCATGTTAGCTTTCCTGGAATGGTAGTGTATCGAGCAATCATAATCCTTAACTAATCCCATCCACCTTCTTTGCCTCAAATTCAACTCTTTTTGAGTGAATAAGTATTTTAAGCTTTGATGATTTGTAAAAATCTCACATGTCTCGCCATATAAATAATGTCTCCAAAACTTTATAGCAAATACAATAGCAGTCAACTCCAAATCATGAGTACAATAATTCCTTTCATGGTTCTTTAATTGTCGAGAGACATAGGCAATCACCCTACCAAGCTGCATTAACACAACCTAAACCTTGATGAGAGACATCACTATATATCACAAATCCACCACTACCCGATGGTATAGTCAGA